TTCACAGTTTATTTAGCAAGAAGCTTATGGTATGCAGAAATTGTCGAGACCTCGAGACTTTCATTCTTATTGGGGAAATTGGCCAAATAGTATACTTGGGATTTCAAAATTTTCTTCTATGTTATTTTCCAACCTTCATGTGTATGTTAGCTTCCTTAAATAGTTAAGTGGAAATATCTGTATCATTGCATTTTTTGAATGTGATTGCTTCTTGTTTGGTACTTGGTGGCTGCATTTTCTTGTTTATGTATTAACTGAAGTTATTTTCCTTGTTTTTGTGTGGTTTGCTTTTTTTTTTTTTTTTTTTTGGTGTTACTTTAAAAATCAGAATTGAAGGTGAGGTTTTAGCTGAACGAAGATGTCATCACCATATCCAATTCTCGATAATCGACCAATTGATCAATGGAAGGTTACAGAATTAAAAGAGGAGCTCAAGAAGCGGAAATTGACAACCAAGGGTTTGAAGGATGATTTGATAAAGCGGTTGGATGAAGCAATACGAATTGAAAGGGCAAATAATGGTCTTAATGGTGATCCCCAACCTGTTGTTGGGGTGAAAGTTGTAGAGCCACGTTCAGGTTCTAGAACACCTAAAAGTATTGGTTCTGGTGGACGTAAAAGGACTGAAAAAGTTGATGTTCCAGTTCAGATTGACAACCGCGCAGCAACTTTGGATCAAGGGAATATTCAAGAAGGTTATATTTTGGTGGATAAAAATGCATGTGCTATTGTTGAAGAGGAGCTGGGTCAATCGACTACTGTGGAAACCACTGTGGAAACCAGTGTTACGGTCACCGAGAGTGTGGTAACTGAGGAAGTAGTAGTTGTGCAAGATTCACAGAACACTGAAGCCAATAAGGGGAATAGGAATTCAAAGCCCCTACTGGAGAATGAGTATGCAAAGCCCCTGCTTGAGAATGAGGACCCAAAGCCCCGGCTTGAGAATGAGGATCCAAAGCCCCAGCTTGAGAATGAGGACCCAAAGCCCCGGCTTGAGAATGAGGATCCAGAGCCCCAGCTTGAGAATGAGGATCCAAAGCCCCAGCTGGAGAATGAGGATCCAGAGCCCCAGCTGGAGAATGTTGATCTAAAGCCCCAGCTGGAGAACGAGGCTCAAAAGCCCCAGTTGGAGATTGAGGATCTAAAGCCCCAGCTGGAAAATGAGGGTTTAGAGCCTACAGCCAAGGATGACATGCTCGGCTCTTCTGCTCCAAACCACCAGGTATCTGAGGTCAGAACTTTAGGGTCTGAAGTAAAATATGATTCTATTTCTACTGATTCTGTGTCAATTAATGAAACGATTGAACTAAAGGATAATATAATTGATCATGTCAAATTAGAATTAGATATTGTTAAGCCGGAGATGGTGGACCCATCATCCAGCACTGTTGTTCCAGTCAGTGGTGATTCACATCCAATGGATGTTGACGAGCCACTTGAGGACAAGGCATCTCTTGGAGAGAAAGATGACAACATTACAAATGCAGACATTAGCAAGAAAAATGATAATGCGGATTTGGGGTACTCAGAAATATTAAATTTAGAGAGAAGTTCTGGAGATGATTCTATGGAAGAAGATGTGTTGGACAGTAAACAAATTGATTCAAAATATAGTTCTGACGATGTGGGAGATATTGGTGAGAAAAATGAAGTTCCTATTGTGAATGAGGAAAGTCGTGCTGGTATTGTGGGAGATGATATTGCCACAGACAAAAATGATGTAAGTGTTGAGAACAAGAATCATCCAGCTCTTCCTGCGGAGAAAAGAAAGCTTAATGGTAAGCATTGCAGCCAGTGTTTCTTGGTACTATTATATTTTTCAACCCATCTGTTACATTACTAACTGTGGAAACATCTGTGTGAGTTGGGATCCATAAAGTTTATGCATTTGGCTTCTGAAACATATATTATCTTCATGCAATTTCGAGCTATCTGCGGTGCATACATGTAATAAGGTCATTTGTATATCACAAAGAACACATTTTTCTTTAGGAGTAGGATTAATACTACCCACCCATTTATGACTTTTAATAAATAATCAAATAGTCTCTTTAGTTTTAGTTGTTTCTTTATGAATAAATAAGGTCTTGGAATACTAATGAACTACCTAATTATACAAGGACATCAATGTTTTATAGGAATTCTACTATTATTAATGTTTTGTTGGAATTTTGGAAATGTCTTTAAGGACAAGTGTGAGAGTCATTCTTAGTGTATAAAGGGACAGATAACTTTGTGATGAATATAATCAGTTTCTGAATGTACCTTGATTCCCGTTAGAAATTTTAGGCTTCGATGTTCTGCCTTTTACTTATTGTGTAAGGGGACTATACCTACTTTCAGCCACTTTATTTCACTGATCTTATTTTCCTTTGTTTTTTTATGCATATTTTTTAGGTATTGCTATTTTGTAAGTTTTGATTACTTTTTGTTCCCCACATCTGCATGATTCCTGTACTTGTTTGAAATAATATCATATTTTTGGCTCTGTACGTTGTGTTTTTTTATCTTTTTCCCTTTAGCCATTAAAGAATCTGGTATTAGTATAACCTTTTTATTGGATAACTTCCCTTGCAGATCAAGCAGCAGTTGGAAGCAATGAGCCTGTAAAGAGGCGCAGGTGGAACTCTGAAAACCTTAAAGTTCCAGAGCTGCAAAGCCCTCTTCAAACACCTTCAGTCACACCCAAGGATACTTTCCAGACCCCCAGTTTGAAGCGTAGCTTTTCAAGATCAAACTCTACAATGGGTGAGGATGCCCCCAAGGAACGTGTTGGTGAGTTATTGTTCTTTTCTTGTATCTGATAATGTCCAGCAACATATGTTTTGATTCCTTATATCTTTGTTTGTTGCAGTTCCACCATCGCAGAAGCCTCCAACTAATTCCCTTAGAATTGATCGATTTCTGCGACCTTTCACCTTGAAAGCTGTGCAAGAACTTTTAGGCAAAACTGGGAAGGTTACTGATTTCTGGATGGACCACATCAAGACTCATTGCTATGTTACTGT